CAAAAAAATCTTTATATCTGTCTGTCTATCTGTCTGTCTATCCCCTTCACCCAGCTCTGTTTTATGGCAGGGGATGTGGAGTATGGAAAGCATATGGAAATCAGATTTTTTTCAGTCCTGGAGAAATAGTTAAAAAAACATTTAAATGGATAACCTGACATAAAGTCTCCTAAAGAGTATATGCAATGAATCGAGTAAACAGATGAGATAGCCAAAAAACATACATTTTAGTACTGTATCATCTTATCTGTTAACTTCTAAATTGATTCTCCCTTCCTAAATCAATAGAATCCCTTCCAACAGAACTAGCCCTTGAAATCCTTTTTGTTCTGAGGGATTACAATTCTGCAACAATTATTATCACTACAGCTGGGCTGAGTTTCCTCAGACTTCTTCTCCCAGAATGCTGTCAGCCAGCAGCATCCATGGGGTGAGTCAAAAGGTCTAGCTGTGACAATGTAATCAAAGCCTTCCCTTTTGTACATGTGTCAGTGTTGCATGCAAGTACAAAGGGGTTGGACTTCAGTTCTGCTGGCATGACAGCCATCTTGACTTTTTTGACTCTCCTGTGAATGCTACTACTGTCAGTAAATATGGGGTGGGAGTTTGCTTGCCCATTCAGTACAAGGCTTTATTCTAATAAGTGTGTATGTTAATGTAATCCCATGATATACAGAGACATTCTGTCTGCCTTAGTCCACAAAGCCAAAAAATGTAGAAGACTCTACAATGCATTTTCTGGAATAGCTAAAGTATCATAGATCACCAGGCAAATATTTTGAAGTAATTATTCGTTAAACTAATAAGAGAGAAATCCTTGCCTTCTCTCATTTATATCTCAAAATATTGTCTACTTTATTGTTGTTCCAATTCAATTTAATACAGTAGAACTTTTTTAAAAAAATAATCATAACTACCAGCTGGTTTAGATAACAAGCATTTATCTGATGTATGTTTATTTTCTTATATATCTGTTAGCAAGGATTTCCAAAATTGTTGTTGTGAAGTATGGTACTGATATTGACAGTTTTCAGGATTGTTGTTTTCTAGAGCTCTCTCTAATGCATTGAAAACTCTTGTGCTTGTGTGTTTGTGCCTGTGTGCACGTGTGTGAGTAGCTTCAGTGTTGCAAGGATGTTTCTCAACCATGACTTACGCATCCTCAGGGGACGGGCATGTCTGAGCATCAAAAACTGAATCAGGCTCACCAAAAATAGTTTATTGAGACTTACAGTCTGCATCATACTGTAAACTATAGAAGAAGAAAAAGAAGCCCTACACTGAATTTTTAAAAAGCACGTACAGTAGCAGGATAATACTTCAGCATATTTCCATGTGGCACAGCACATAAGGTATTGAGGAACACTGCTTGTCTTTTACCCTCCCTCTCCCTTAGACCAGGCCATGGCTTAAAGGCATTTGAATTCTTATAGAATTATTTAATTGCTTGAAAAATTAAATAGTTGAGGGGAAAGTGTTTTTTTCCTCTATTCAAATAGTCATCAAACTGCTATTAAGGGTAGAAGAGAATTGGTAGAATTGGCTGACCTGGTTCGGACAAGATGCCCGCTTTGAAAATCTATCTTTTCTCTTCTTTGTGTATTTACAGTACTGTAGATACACAAAGTACAGTACAGTTATCTCCATCCATCCACCCACACAATTTTTAAAATCTGAACAGAAATAAATAAATATTGCAGGCACTTTTATTCTGATGGGCACCTTTTGGGGCATCTTAACTTTATTCTAAGCACTGGAAATAATATTTGGCTACTTCTTTGAATTCTGAGATTTCAGTAGCCATTCCCCATACATTTTTCAGGCATGTCTTTGCCATCTCAAGAGTCAGAAATTGCTTTTTAAATGAACTTGCTTAAATAATGAAATGGTGTACCCACTCCCACATCCCTGCTCCTTGTCTGTGATTCCACGGAACTTGGATCGTGTATCTGACTTTGGGTATTAAGAAATTTGTGGAGATGGTATGCCTTCTCAGTTGTGTTCCTTAAACAGTCATAGGGACTGAGTATTTAGAAATAAGCTTTTAAAAGGAGCTTGGTGCTCCTCATTGCTGGCCTTAGATAATTTTCAGTCTAATGGAATGGCTAAACTAACAGCCCTTCTCTGCTCGCTTTATTAAAGTGTCATATACAAGAAGGCTGAAAGTAGAAACATTGGACGAGGTCACCTGTTACTCTATGATAAGGCTGCCTAGAGCATTTGGTACCTAAACTAGAAAATTCAAATGATTTCTGCATAATGTTGTATATTTTATTTTAGACGTTTTAAAATTTCTTCTGAACAGAGTACTCAAAGAGGTTTACATAAATGTAAAGCTTTTTACAATAAAACTAGTTTAACTCAATGGAGTAGAAAGGGAGTTGCAAAAGCATAGACACAAACACCTATCCTCAAAGGTAAACACCTTTCCAAAGGGAACAAAAAAATTCTAATAAAATATAGACCAAGAACTTCCTAAAACACAGTGGCCTTCAAGCAATGGTGAAAGATAAATAAAGAGATCCTAAATGTAAGTATCCTTTCTATTGGCAACTGCAACAAGAAATGCTCTATTCTCATAAATGTGAAAGGTATCTTTATCCGTTTTGAGCCTATATTGACGTTCCCAGGGGGAAAGAAGATTTCAAGCACAGCTAATCTAATTTCATATT